ACATACGTACAGACGTGTATCACACAGAGAAGACCCAGTGTTGCTCATATAAACTTGTTTAGTCCATACTAAACATTTTAACTTAACAAAATGGAGACATGCGAAAGGGTTTATTAAAAAATCGATGAAGGGGAGAGGGCACAAGTCAGTTTATCCACCCAATATTGCAATTTTTAAAAATGGTTTTTGTAAAATGAATATTTTTAAATATTTTCATTTTTTTAAACACATCTAACATCGATCAGGATATGAAAAGATGGTTATTAGTATAGTAAATAGGAATATATTTCCTGACTAAGGGAAAATACTGATGAAATAGTTTCGACAAAATCATTTTAGTTTAGACCAGCTGGAAAAATTGGGGGAAAGAAACCACAACCGGTAATTTCGCTACACCCAAAAGAAATAAAAAGAATAATTAAAAACAAACAAACGCAAATGTGGTCTGTCACACACCCTCACTACACTAAAGACGACGGCTATTACAATTTAACACGAAAACAACAATACATAAGCTTTCGACTCAGAACAGGCCACAACAGACTAAATCAACACATGCACAAAAAACTGAAGGTTGGGTGTAGCGAAATGTGCCCTTGTGGCAAGGCCCCGGAAAACACGGAGCACGTACTCCAGGATTGTACTCTGTATAGCCAGGCAAGAGGCAGACACTGGCCCCAGCCCACCCCACTCAGGGAAAAATTATATGGGGCACCTGACAAACTGGAAACCACAGTCCGGTTTGTCCACGAAGTTGGACTTGTTGTCTGAATCCTCCACCATATTCAAAAATTAAGAACGAAGAAGAAGAAAAGAAGAAGAAGAATTTTAGTTTAATTATATCCCTTTAAAGAAATAAAATACAAAAATGTTAGGTGTATAGTTAACAGGGGTCGGCAACCTGCGGCTCGCGAGCCGCATGCGGCTCTTTTGATGTCCAGTTATGGCTCTTCAGCTCCATTCACAAATATTGATAATTATTTCATTTTATTTTCAAAGCTCATAAAAATATTAGTCTGCAACACTCGGTAATAAACGATATAAAAATTAATATAAACAATAAAATATCACTATTCTATAAGAATACTTAGCCACTCCTCATCTTAATGTACTTTCTATTATATTGTCCATTCCGAATTAAAACATTCAACTTCATAACATATATCACAAAGAAAATAAACCAGCTAAGTGTAAAACTGAAAGAAAAGAAAACCCTATCCCATGTCTTGTTTGAAGAAGTGGTTTGTGTCGAAAAAAAAATACTTTTTTTGTTGAAGATACGGTGAGCGGTAAATTGCTTGATTAAGAAAAATCAGGAAAAAGATCATCCTTATGGAACCAATACTACTCTTAACATAAATCACTTCAGCTTTAATATAAACAAACTGAATGATGGTTTGAGCAATTCAAGACAAATGCAATTACTCTGAAGTACATAGTAGATCCTCTCAACACAAATTAAAATGAGATTATTTCATATATAAGTTATTTATTTTAAATTATATATATATATATATATATATATATATATATATATATATATATATATATATATATATATATATATATATATATATATATATATATATATATGTATGTATATATATATATACATGTACATATATATATACATATATATATATATATATATATATATATATATATATATATATATATATATATATATATATATATATATACATGTACATATATATCTTAAACAAATATACTATTGACGTAAAAACGCCTAATAAAATGTGTATAAAAGTGCGCAATATTATTAGTACTTTATAAATTTACAAGCGTTTTTTTTTAGAAATCGGAAATAGCGTAAATTAGTACTTCCGGTCAACGGAAATAACTCAAAATTTGACAGAAGGTAGAGAATTAGATCTTTTACTTACATGTAAAATTTCATTTATCTATCTGAAATAGTACTCAAGTTATAGGCTTTTGAAAAATTCAAAGTAGAAAAAGTACCACTTCCGGTTATCGGAAATCGCTCAAAAGTTGATCAGGATCTACGATTTTGATAAAATACTTATATATGAAATTTCATCCACCTAGCTCTAACGGTTCTCAAGTAATCGTGTTTACACACATGCACACACACACACACAGACACACACACAGACACACAGACATACGGACAAGATTGCAAAATTATGTTTTTCCGTATCAGTGAGGTGTAAAACGTCGAGATTTGTAAAAATCTCGATTTTTTTTTTGCACGATTACAATACTTTCTCTATACTTCGTATATACGAGAAAGTAAAAAATGCTGAATATTTGTATCTGCTAAATGTAAAAGGTCATGTGATTTAAGCCTACATTTTGTCGCCCATATCATCAATACATCGGTATAGTTTATAGTCGAAAAACTTAATAAATTTGGTTTTTAAAGAGGATTAGAAAAAAAAATTAACAAGGTGCGAAGATTGAAATTCTTTACATTACCAAGAAATCGATGATTGGACGTGTTGGTGTTCTTTTGTGAATAATTTCAACTTTAACTAGATCTAGGCTATTTGTTATGGCAATGCGTGAGATTGGTATTACTGTTATAACAATGTGCATATATATATATATATATATATATATATCCTGTGGCGTCGCTAGGTCGGGTGTCACCCGGTGCGGCACTTGGTAGTGTCACCCCCCCCCCCCAAGAAACAAAGAATATATATATCCATATATATATATATATATATATGTATATATATATATATATATATATATATATATATGTTTGTGTGTGTGTCGGCCTACTTAGCCCTATAATTAAAATATATGCCATATATGCGTACATGTAGGTACTTGAGTTCTTGACATAGCAAGTTTCAAAAAAGCTCTGGGACGATTTTACATGGTTTTTTACGTGACTTTCAATGATTACAAAGGCAAAAATCAATCTATAACAATCAGTCAATACCAACCATAGTTGAATAAAGTTTGTTACAACACTTTTTATTTTAATGACGAAATGTAACTCTAGCCTACACAAAATTTGGTGACTCTAGTCCACACCATGTTAGACAACTCTAGCCAACTCAAAGTTAGTTTACTCTAGCAAGCTGTGCCGGTAAATCCTATTAAACTTAGTCCCTGGCATGACACCATGTTGTGATATTATTAATGGTAAAACTGGGACAGTATTTTCAAACACCAAAAATATTAAGTCGTGTTACTGTAGTGAGTTTCTGGATTTTTATTTAAAGGCAAGTTTTTAAAAATAAAGCGCATTAAAAAAATATAAATGTGAAAACTACTTCTTTTGCATGTATTTGCTAAATTGCATTTTCTAACAAAATATGTTATTACTATTTAACCCAATTATTTTCCAGCTGTACTTTAAAGCCAAAACTCCCTCAACCCACCACGCCAAGGGTCGGCAACCTGCGGCTCGCGAGCCGCATGCGGCTCTTTTGATGTCAAGTTGCGGCTCTTCAGCTTTATGCTCAATAAAAATATTGTTCTGCAACACTCGGTAATGAACGATAAAATAATAAACATAAACAATAAACACTCGCTATTCTATTAGAATATTTAGTAACGCCATATTTCAATGTACTTTCTATTAACTTGTCTATCCCAAATTGCAACATTCAACTTCATGGTGGAGATCATAAAGAAACTAAACGAGCTAAATGTAAAACTAAAAGGAAAACTCAGCCTATGCCTTGCTTGAAGAGGTGGTTTGTTTAAAAAAAAAAAAATTTTTTTTTGTTTAAGACATGGAGAGCGGTAAATTACTTAATTACAAAAAATCTGAAGAAAAAAAAATATCGTGATGAAACCAATCCTACTACTAACATGAATCACTTCAGTATTACTATAAACAAAATGAAGGGTGTTTTCACTGAGAGATTTGAGCAATTCAAAACAAATTCAAGCACTCTGACGTTTATATGAGATCATTTCATACATTTAAAGCTATTTATTTAAAATTGTATATATATATATATATATATATATATATATATATATATATATATATATATATATATATATATATAATCTTTAACAAAGATCATATTATTGACATAAAAATGTTTGTGGCTCTTTAAAAACTGGGTAATTTTGAAAATTGTAACTTTTGGCTCTTTCGTCTCAAAAGGTTACCGACCCCTGCACCATGCCGACAAAAAAATAAAATCCATTGAATCACCATTTATTATGCTTATACATATTTACAGGTTTAAAAATGTAAATAGACGTTTTGTATTTTAGATCTATGTATAAGTAAACCGTCTTAAATGAATGAAAGTAGACAACATATAAGAAAGAAGTATTACTATTGAAAATCTGTATCAGTCCTCAAAAGCCGATAATGAAAACTTATACTAAAGCGAACTTGCAAGGCAAACTGACGCTGTAATTTACATGTTTGAGACACACAAAAAAGAATTAAGAATATATATATATATATATATATATATATATATATATATATATATATATATATATACACACATATATATATATATAATATATATATATATATATATATATATATATATATATATATATATATATATATATATATATATATATAATTTATATGGACAGGTCTATGAATAAAGTAATTAGACAATACAAATACTATTATGATATTTAATTCTAAATTTCCAATGTTAAAGTTCACTACTATTGGCATTGTTACTTAAATATAACAGTTACTATATCTGAAGTTTTGTTTATAAATATTTGAAACTACACATACTTGAATGGTTATTCTTGTACAAGTTGTAGTGAATTTTTTTTACATGTTATCGATATTATATTTAAGTGGAGCATTTCGTTCTATGAAGATTAATTTTCAAATTTCTATGTGTTAAAATAGATATAAATGTCTAGAAATGAAATACACATAAGTTTGATAATTTTGTTTTAAATACATAGAGACACACTACACAAAAAGTTTGCTTGCCAATTTGCACTATTTTTATATGTAAAGGTGTCATTGATTTTGTTAAAGATGTTCCACGCATGGAACAGAT